TACATTAAAACCACGGATGCCAATTCGGATCCATACGTGATAAATTCTCCAGAGAACGTGCCGTTTGCGTTAGATTTGCGATGTTCTCTAATGCAGAATCGACATTTGAAACACCTTAATGGTATAAATAAATATATAAATCTAAATATAAATAAATATAAATATAAATATAAATAAATAAATATATATATATATGTATTTGTGAATGTGCGTTATTGAAGTGATGGATGAAAATATTAGTTAATCACAACTTGCAAATGTTATTATTTTATTTCGACTACAAGTGATTATCGCTATAACGATAATATAAAATATTCTTTAATTTGATTTTGAGATCGGTTAAGAACGACTGCAAAATATTGAGCATTTAACAGATGAAGAACTCACCATTCAAACGATTTTGTATCATTTCGAGCGCACAACCAACTTGGTCAATAACCCCAGCAGCATTCATTTCGTTCACATTCATACGTTCTGCATACGCTTCCCAAAGAAGGATTCGTGCATAGATCACCGCGTTCCGTTGTTCTAAACAACGCCCTACTGCAAGCATACTGCATTTGAAGTGACCTGAAATTCAAAACATCATCAAGCGATTGTGAATATATGAAGATAGAAGAGAACGGATACGCAAGAAAAAGATAAAAACAGACAAAAAGACTAAATCGCTCGAATTTTATGTTTCCTTCTGAGATCAACAAAAACGCAAAGTTTTTGTTGATTTTTTAGAACATATTATCCCTATTGTCATTAAGCTTATCACAATGATAATAATATTCAAAGATATCAACAAAAACTGACCTTCAACGGATAGGCCAAGAAAGTTGTTGAGATTGGCCGAAAGGCGGAATGGCACAGCACGATTTGAGTCGAGTGCTACTGAAACTTTATTTGTTTGTAATATCTCATTAGATGAATGCAGAGATAATAATGAAGCACCTTCTTTTCGAAATAAAGTTTTTGAAAAAGGAACAAATAAACAACTGACATGTTTTTGATCGAATATTAAAATCCAATTCTGTATTCGACAGTTGTCCTGTATTCATATTGAGATTTATGGAATCGAGATTGAATGAGGTCAGTTGAAAGACATATTCACAAATAGAAAACAACGCCAGATGTAAGGCCATCTGAAACATTATTTGTCACATTATGCAACTGAATTACAAATGCTACATATCCATCAGGAGAATAATTCGAGATAGATCTAATTTTTTAAATGATTTCAATGTCCAAATAGTTGAACGAATAAAAGATAAGCGAAAAGCAATCATGATTATAAACGATGAAGATGACCTGTTTTCTTAATGTATAGTAATGAGTAGCATCATCGTATCGAGCCATTAACCATTTCGTTAAAGAATCAACCGCGAGAACATTCTGCGAAGTCATCTCGTTTATGATATCCCAGAGTACACCGCCCGTCACACGTCCTCGTGCCTCTGTTATACGATCGTAGTATCTTAATTGATCACCATACGATTATTTTATTGGCAAACAACAACTACAATTCAGTCATACTTGAACTTTGTGACCCATTTAGCAGTCGCACACACAAATTTTAGACTTGAATAAACCTGATATATACTGAATCACCGTACTCATTCAAAGCAATCAGAAACTGACAAACAAATGAATAATAAAGCTGATGACGATAATACTAGCACTGATTAAGATAATAGCAATATAACGAATGATTATGCAATGCACCTGGTTACTAGAGCAGTGGGCACTTTGCATGAATGTTGAGATGAGCGAAGTATGTCACATAAGATATCGTGAAATGTTGGATAAGCCTGTGCTGCGTTCAGTGGGCCCTCAACGAGCACAGAATGACTCAACGAAAGAACACGATGCACTGAGAATTGCAACAAGCGACGGCATGTTTCCTAAATTATTCACATATCTGTCAACAAAACAAGATCTGGTGGAACGACACACTCGTTTACTAGTAAGCATCCATTTAAATCTCTCTCCGTAAAATAGACCACGCTCCATTCGAAATGCTCAAACATTTTTTCGTTAATCGTCATTTTAAAAAAAACAACAAACATTTCTGATAAGAACAGCAACAAACCCTTTCTTTCGTAAGCAAATGATTTATCATTGTAAACAACTGATTTACTCCAGTTCGTCGACGTTCAGGACAACGTTTCAGATAGAAACAATGAATCTGAAGAGATATTATTAAATTCAGGAAAAAGATATCGGATATCCGAAGCAGAAAAAGATTGAGATAAAAGCTTGACAAAGTGGAATCAGGAGTTCTGTTTGTATGACAAACTGAACAGAAATAATAAACAAACTATTACTTTTCCGTTTAAGGTCCGAACTGAGAGACGCCTCGAAACAGATCCACCTCTTCGAGTAACATAATAGATAGGCATAAAACGACAAATAAGAGAGGAATAATCCTTTGCCTGAAGAACAGAAAACAGAAAATTAAGATTATCAATATCTCCCAGAAACAGGCCCATAATTGATGGACTGACTGACGAATGATTATCAGGTTGGAAGGAAAAGGTGATTGTTTCCATTCCGTGAGTAAATTACGAAATCCTAGTGCTCGAAATGCATTAGATATATGATGCTCCAACGCTAAAAAGAAATCAAAACGAGCTGCTAACCTTAACACCGGTTGAGTCACCAAATGTTTCAACATTGGCCATTTTACTGCCGAACGAAGCAAGATACGGCGCTAAATCACGAAGCATACCCTCGCTGAAACAATACGAGATCACTAATGGAGCATATCAAAAGAACTGAACTACGTGAAGAGTATGTCAATCGCACTAAAACCTACTTTGGCATGCTATCGAATTTGTTCTCCAATACTGTAATCCAATGATTTAAATGACTCAAGATTCGCATCACCCGACTGTTTGCTAACGTCGATAAGTCGAACTGTTCGGTCATCATTCGTGAAGACGATTCGATGAACTAAAATACCCTGCGCAATTAACTGATACGTTTGAAAGAATAACACTAACAATAGTAAATAAGTATAATCATATCAAGAAACCATTACCTCTTTATCACAGTGCTCGGTAAGATTTGAAAAATCAGACAATGAACGAGTCCATTCACTTATTTCACACTCAATTTCTTTGGAGACGATCACCGATGAGACATCATTTCGATTTTCGAAAGCAAATCTACAATTACTCAATATTGGAATCAAATGACTAGCCGAATGAATAATCAATTTCTCAAATATTCCAAACAAGTCAACTAACTCGAGCAGTTTGGTTCGGATTCGTGTAGCGATTCGAAGATTACGTTCCACCCAACATTCACCGATGGAATCCAGTTCATTGAGAATTCGATTCAAAGACATTATATCAGGTGGTCGATGCTTACACAATTTACTGATTACATTCAGTAAAATACTCTCGAAAACTGACAACGATGCATCGTCATGTTGCATTACATTTATCTCATCATCACCGCCGTTCTTCTCCAACGCTAGAACAACACAAATAATCGTGCATTATAACAGCTCATTTAAAGTGAAACGAAGAAGCGACTAAACGAAATAAACTGCAGATTGCTGAGGCAAAGTAACGCCTACTTACTTTGCTTAACCCTTTCGTTGACCAATTCGAAGCGTATCGCTTCACGTATCGCACAAAACGTTTGCTGTTCATTCGTTTCACCGACATGGCAAATGATATTAGCTATGGCATCCGACGGCCTTGCTTTCAATTCGGATATTAACTGCGGTAACCTGAATTAATTAGTTTATTTATACATGTATTTGACTGAAAAAGTTTCGATTTTTTCTAATCATTGCTCAAAATAACGCCTTTTCCGTTTGAAAACAATTTCTACAAAACCTTAGTTAGTTTCAACGGCCGCTTATTCTACGCCACGCCCTTTAACGTTTCATGTATAAAATGAATGTATGGAGTAGCCTTCATCGAAGCAGTTCTGTTTCATTGATTTGTTCACTTGTTTAAGCAGTAATCAAAAGTCAGTATGAGTTCATGCCTCTCCGTTATCATTGGTACCATATTTTATCCTGGCTAACTTTCTTCCCTGAGAGAATATAGGTGGAATCAAGGCAAATACTTATTCAAAAATAATTTAAACGCTCACCAAGGCAGCCAATTTGTTGCCGGAACTCCAACGCCCATCTTCTTCAGTCTCTCATCCAGCCTCTTTTGTACTTCAGGACCGTGAATACTCAACAACTGAATAAAATAATGATTACCTCTTCTCTCTAACTGTAATACCCAATTGTTTTTTTATTCTACATTGACAAACAAACACTGAATGAACACACTCAAATAAAGCGATAACAATAGTGATAATGATGATAAAAATAATAACATAAGCTTACCTTAATCAGCCACAACAACCTCACCACATACTTACGTGTTTTTAATTCATTATCCACCCTCAAAGCTTCCAACAAACACGATAATGCGTCCACACCTGCTCTTAATGCATTCGATTCTGATCTGAAACAAGAAATTTAAAACGATAGCAAATTTGAATCTATCACATGAATGATCATTGGAAGATTAAATCCTGGTTCAAAAATCACGAGAATCTAGATTTTAAGCACGAAAAAAATGACCGGTCTGAATTGAATACTCGCTCGAGATGTTCACTCCACTGCGACCACACAGGGCTGCCCAATGTCAAACTTTCATGCATTGCCGATGCAGTTGAGAAAGACAAATTTGCTTCTTCGTTTCTATAAAACTAGTAATAAACTAACCAATACAATAACAAAGATAAAAACAGTAATAATAATAAGTTTGACGATAATTTTGATGAGAAACTTTGAAACAACAATGATTCACACCATTATTATTACAAGATAATTTGAGTGAAACATTAAACAAGCATTTCAATGCGACTAAAAAAATCGCTGAGTATGGAAATTAAGCTTTTATCCACCTAATTCCGTATTACTTAAGAAATACGGCATCTTCGACGTTCATTGATCACATAAAAAAACAAAACAAATTGACATTCAAAGCAGATAAAAACAAAATTTGAGATTCAATTTAATTCAAAGGCTTAGAGGATGAAGCATATGGCAAACGTACAAATCGAGCTTCGATTGAATTCTTGCTTTGATGGTGAACAACTTCGAGACATGATCCTTCGTGAGTGCACTTATTGATGTATTCTCAATGACGTCCAATCCCTCTAGAAGTGTTTCCCTTTTCTCATCATCAGTTGAATCGAGTAATGTTGCCTTCTTCAAAAGACACTTCAGGTGTTCATAAACTTTTGCCTGAGCATCCATTGCTGGTAGCACTGACATTGTGTGCATCCTCAAAACAAAACCACTAAAACACCAAAAAGAACAACCACAATAACACATTTCATTCATTCATTAAACTCACCTCGTAATCAAATCCATGGCCACGTTGATCAAACCATTTTTTCGTGCCACACGGGCCAACTGAATTTGTGATTGCGCTGCCGAATGGATCGGTAGAAGAGTTTGTTGCAATTGACCGGGTTGTGTCTGAAAGAATCACATTCAAAAGCGAAACATAACACGGAAATATCATTCAAAATGGATACTAAATTCACCGTATCCCAATTTTGCAACATTCCAACGGCTGATACATAATGATGTAAACGCCAATGATGAATATCAATCCAGTGTGAGAATGCATCCGCTAATGTTGGTGAACGATTCCTTAATTGTTTATTCAGATTATTTTACATAACTGCAACTCCAATTCACACATAAATTATTTGTGCTTTCTACAAAATTTGAATTTGAAATTACTTTTGATCATTATCAAATTCACAAAAAGGAAATAGAGAAATTATTATCGTAAGAAATCGAAAAAAAAAAGAAATCAAATTCGAGTGATACACAATAAAATGAAATCTGTTCGTTAAATATTAACAATGATAATGAATGCTGATAACCTCCACGTCTTAATGATTGATTTCACGTCATTGATAACATTACTCTGTAAAGCGCCGCTCAAATGACTCGCAATTGCACTCGCTTCAAGAATTTCTTGTACCTGATGAGCAGCCTAAAGGAACAACATAAGAAAGCAAACAAAACGAGTTTTCTGTCGTATTCATTTGAACCTGAATGGATGAATCAAAATAACAGCGATGGTAACAACAATAACGTAACTGAACCAGTCATAACGAATAAATGAACTCACTTGCAAAATATGAATATGACTCTGTGATACAATACTCGGTAAACGTTTCCACTGCTTAATCAGCTGTTCACTAGCAACTTCCAATGTTTTCGATATGCGATTGTACAATATCTCTGTGGTGTCATCGTGTTCCGGTTGAATAACCTAATAATGAAGCAAAATGAATGAAAACGCTGTGAAGATAATGTCAACTGCTAAATCTGATTGAGTGACGATACCATAAGCATTGATTTGTAGAGCTGAATTTTGTAGCAGAGTGAAGGAGGGACACAGCCGTCGATCTGCGATACACTTTCTTTCATTAGCGTCCAGTCCGGGATATGCCAACTAGCCTCAGCAATATTGGCCAAATCTTGTACGGATTGTGAGTTTGAATAGTCACGAATCAATTCCCACGAATTCAATTCACGCATCGCTCTTCAATTTTATCATTAGTAATCATTTTACAGACAGATCGCAAGGTAATTATTTTATGGGAACGATTATAGATCAAAAAACAGAATACTGTGATGCTTCAAATGCATTCTTTGATTTTCTTATTTGAATAAATCATCCACGTTCGTCCTATTTTTCCCATTCACGAACGGAGAAAGTTTTTATTCCGGAATACGACAGCAAGTTTTCTTTTTTTCTTCACTATCGATGTTTTCAACAAGTTCATTCTGAACACAAGAGAGAAGACAACATAAAATATGCTGCACTTCTCAATGCTAAAATTACGACACAAATAAAACCGCACAACAGTCAATCAGTAACCAACTTCGTCCAATTTTTTTCCCATTCTAAAGACTCCAAATAGAGTGGAGGCGATAGCGAAATGACTGCACCACCCGATTTTACATTCGTTAATCGTTCACTGGTCGTTTCCATCAACGACTCAAAATAATCAGCCGCTTTATCATATTCACCTGCGAATTCATTTTTTTTAAACGAAGACTCCATACGGTAAAATTCTCAACAGATTTGAAATTTTAAAAGGATAGAAGATTATTAAGGCATACCATGATTCAAGAAAGAGATTGCTTTAGATGTATTTTCGTAATATGCTCGTTGGCGCCAAATGGCCTCATACTGATCCCATTCCGATAAATCATTATATATCTCAGATAAACTATCTAATACAGCCTGGAAATACAATGATATTTGTGAAATTGATAGAAAATAACATCAAACTGGCCAGTGTTATCAATTAATCAGTGTTTTGCGGGGAGAAAAAAAAAGTCGGGGACGGGGAGAGTCCCCAAAAATGGCCGCCGCTTGAAAATGGTCGGTGACGAGGATTTGAGGACTCCTCGCACAATAGTATAATTAACATCAATAATATCAACATTCCTACAATGCCTTTAACGTCGTTCTCATGAAGGATATGTGCAAAATACTGAGTTGAATTATGTGCTCTGGACGGGGTAATGAAAAGATGAACAGCTGAATACTAACGAGATGTTCGGAGGTTAATTGCGGAGTGTGTAACTCGAGTAAGGCTGGATTGAGTTGAAGACGAGGGATTGATAACGCATCCTGTTCAAGTAAGATTAGTCCTCGATGCCAGGCACGATGAGTGCACGAAACATACTGAATAAATGTATTATCATCTTCACGTTTCACTGTTAAGAGGACTGGTGATGAGTATTTGTTGAGTTGGAACAAAATAAATGCGTTGGTTCATTGTGGAACGTAGATGAATTCAAAATAACAACTGAACAAAATCGAAACACCTTGAGAATATTGGATTGAAATCGAAGCCCGGGTCGACATCGACAAACAGCCTCCAGAAAGGTGGCTAAAGCCGAGAATGTATTATCCTTCTGAGGCAAATGCGACGCAGAAACAAGGAACGGCATCATTTCAGCCTCCAAACTGGCTCGTTCTAAAGAGGTAAGACCAGCCCACAACGACGGAAACAGTTTAATCCATACTTTTGATGCCAATTCAGTATCTAAAATGCGGCTCCATTAAGAGTACATTGATCTACCATCACTATAACCAACATTCAGTTTCTATCGAATATTTCCTCTTGGCTCAGTTTAAGCGGAGATAAGCACTGAGTAACATGAAACTGTATGAAAACGAACCGTAATGAATCAATTCGACGAAACTTGGTAACAAATGTGTTATATGGAAACGAGCTGCTGAAGTGAAAAGTTGACTTTGCTTATCGATGAGCGAGTCGAGACGAGATGTTTCAGGTTGGCTTGATGAAGATTGTTGTGACACTGTTGGATCGATTTCCAATACGTCTGCATCTGCATTGAATACTTTTAATTGACTCATATCTTTTGGACTTTAGCATTCAGCGAATTAGCTGTGCTTGCATGAACAATATAGAGGCAACCCTTCGACTATAAACACCAACAGTTACCTTCAATCGTATCAGCTGTTTCGATTTCCAATTCGAACAATTCTTCATTTTCTTTACTCAATGGAATTTTACTATAGAATTCATTGAGTTGAAAGCTTAACTCGAATGTTCGCCATAACGTTGCACAATTCTTCAATTCAGTTCGCCAAACTGGCGTCGTTTTCCAATCTTTTGTTTCTTCCATTATCGACGAAAACATCAACTGAGAAAAAAGATAGAATAATTCGTTCTAAAGAGGTAAGACCAGCCCACAACAACGGAAAACAAATCGTCAACAAAACAAACAGATCGCTATCATGAACAATGTCCTATAGCCACTTTACTGAATGAACCTTTAAAGTGAAAATGTGGCTAGTTGAAACTAACATTGATGCAATGCTTAATCCAAAAATTTTGATGCATATCACTCCAGTTCTGTAGTGCCACTATGTGATAGAGTCGTTCGTAGACCTTTCGTGGTACTTGAGCGTCGAATACTCTGAAGAAGCGATTACGCAACGCTTCATCCTCAAATGAACAATTAACATAATACAATCAAGTGCAGCTAGACAGCACAACTGTTGTTTGATTATTACGTAATACTTATCAACTCATATCATCAATCAAATATTAGAATAACTCACCGCCACGGAAAGTCCCCAATGAAAAGCCACGCTTAATTTAGCAGCCGTTTCGGTTGTTCTCAAATGCGGTGTTTCATAAACGTACAAAACAGTACTCAGCAACGATAATAACATTTCACCACTTTTCTCGTAACGGCGCTGTATATCAAACGTTTGCATAAGTCGTATCAATAATGGTACTCCTTGATTCGGCTGCTTCTGTAATACAGTAATAACTCGATAAAAATACTACTTTTCAGATCTTTATTATTATCAGTACTATAAAGCAGAAAAAAAGTCAGTGATAATCCAGACAGCATCCATCAAAGTAGAGGAAAGATGAACAAACGATTTTAAATTACACAAATATAAATAACATCATCTGACTTTTACCTAAGCTATGAATAACAGTTCATTAAAAACTCAGAAGAATAAAAAAGTTTGCTGACCTCATCTCCACTTCTAACCATCTCATCAACGACTTTTATAACTACATCCAATATACGATCGACATTCGTTTTATCAATTAATGGATGCAGCACGTACTGACTGATTGTACGACGACTTTCCGAGTGAAGAGCGTGCATTCGAGGACGTAGCAGTTCCAATGAATAGATAATCAGTTCAGCAACTGCATGACCTAAACACAGAAACGTAACTTGAATTTATATCACATAAGTAGCAATAAAAACAAAACAAACCCTTATTTTCTGCCAGAGATGTCACTGCAATATGATCCTTGACCAGCTTTTGTAGGGCCCTCAAAAAAGTCTGCAGACACATCGTATCAACGTAGGCTGGTTGAATTGAGCAAATGGTTCGTAACAGATGAATAGTACCAAATATACCTTGAACTGGTTGAGTGGCCGCTCTGAAATTTACTTACTTCTTTGCAAATCTTCATTGTTTTGGTTTCGTTCGATTCTGTAGCTCAAAAACATATTGCATTTCACTTCGATGAGCATACAAATAGTAACGCTTTCGAGAGATGTGATCAAACATGAACAGAGTATGAGATGAGAACTTTGCATCATTTTGAGACTGATTAATGCTTTTGATCAGTACTTATATGCTGAGTTTTTGATCAGTCTCATTATTTAAACGAACTTTTTAAAATATTATTAGAAAAAAAAGTTAATTGTAGTAAACCTTTCATAATTGGTGAACGTATCATTGATGAATTTAGTAACAGACTGATTGATAGTCTCCAATTCATCAAGACCTTCTGGTGAACTTTTTGTTTTCTCGAATAATTTTGCTATCAACTGATACAAACTTCTCATCACCTGAATTTCAGTTTTTCGATACTGTCGCAATATTCTTGATGAAGAAGTTGACGGATGAACGCTACTTGGGATACGAAAACTATGTTAAATCCCCTAAATTTTAGGCCTTATAACTGTTCTCATCAATCGAAAACCGAAATCGTGTTCATGCGAACCCAAACAGGTGCATCGGTATACGTTGCATGAAATTAATCGCTTAGCTCAAAACTGAATTCGATCAGCAGATGAATTTTTCGACTGGCAACGAATCAATCAAAAGGGATTCATAAAAAATCAATTACTGTTACCGGATTCTGCTGACAGTTCAAACAAGATGTGATGCCTCGTTGTGCCATCTTTATGTTTTGTACAACAACCTCAGGTGGCTGAAAACAAACTGATGGAATAATGACGTTCCAAAATAATTCACTGACCATTTGTGAGAATAAGGATTCAAAAATGAAAACTAACGAGTATAACGACGAGCTGTGCTAAAACATCGAGTGTCGCTTGTGCCTGAGTTAACTGATGCGCAGTTGGTGCTTGCTCGCGATACTGCTGTGATGTGCATTCAATTGATGCCAATAACTGCTTGTCCAACCTTGCATGTGAGTCAATGTTAATTCAAACAATGTAAATCGACATGCAAAACACTAACCACACCACTCTGATCGTAGCTGTACGTCCCCACATGTTCGGTTTTAAACAAGCTCTCAGAAGGCCAAGACTACGCTTATTCAATTGTTCAACCATCAAAGCTTGTTGATTTGCGCTCGGAGACTGAAATATTCATTCAGAGAGAATATATTTAGAAAATGATCAAATCAGTGATTGCATATGACAATAACGCTTCAAACATATTTCTTGCTCTCTAAAACACTATGATACAAATACGAAGAGAACGCTGACTTTTTCGAATGAAGTTTTGGAACAGTCAACTGAATGAGACAAATGCGTTCAATATGAAACATGAATAAACGCATTTCTTCATCATATTCGAACATTACGCCTTCGTGAATAAGAAAAACATTGGTAGACGATGATGAAATGAAACAGAAAAATAGATAGAGTATTTAAAAAAAACGAGCAAAAAAATACATTTTCAGGTACCGATGTTGCCAGCTTTAGTAATAAATTCACAACGTTATCCACGAATATTTTATCAATCGGTTTATGGAGCTGCAAAAGAAAAAAAAGAACAAAATGACGATATAGACGTATACGAAAGAGTAAAAATGAAAGCGAAAAAAATGACACTAGGCTTGAACGACCAAACATAATAAATTACTTAAGAGAGCTTCCTTTTTATGGCATTTCAGAGGAGACTGAAGTATATCGGAATATGAAATAATTGTGGTTGTTCATTCATTCATACTGATAAATAATCAACTAATTTCGGATAAACGACAGATGATCAATAGTGATCGATGAATAGTTTTTGAACAGAAATAAAGTGTAGTGAAACCAACATCATCTTCATCTTGTAATTGTTTCGTATACGATGGAATTGCAGTCGTTGCTACTGGCTGCGATTGAGCGCATATATTAGAACTTGAATTCGAGTTAGAATTTGGATCTGGTGGCAGGGTTGATGGCGTACTCTGAGACTGAGATGTGAACGCTTCTGACTGTTGTGTGACTGCTTGTGCTTGAGCTTGCTGCACAGCTGCAGCTTCAGCCTGTATAATCACAATCTTTTGCTATAGTCATCTTTCAAGGGAATATGAACTGATCTGCACGGCAAGCTACGAACGCCGTTCACTATTCAATAATCATCACTCAACAAACCGCATCATGAATCTGCTTCAGTCTCCACTGTTCCCATTTGATGACCATTTCACATGCATCAATGGCCAATCGTCGATTATCAATATTACCTTGACTTATGACCAGTCTTTGTACACCGTTCATTATGAATTGAATCATCTGATGTCTTACGTGATAGTAAATTTTGTAATGACGAACCACCATCGACCTTTATGAGAAATTATCATCAGTGTCATATGAAACAATCAACAAATCGCTCATAAAACATACATGCAATGGAACAACTGTGGTAAGTTGTGACTATCTTCGATGATTGTCTTCTTGACAAATGTCATCATCTGTTTATGTCCATCATCCATCCGAACCGGCACCGATGGCGTCAGGATATCGAGGCTTTTTTTGACAACCTCTCTTGGATCGGTATGATATGCTTTTAGAAGACTGTGAAATACCTTCAAATGAAGTTTCAATATTTGTAGCAAATGTAACATAGAATTGTAATAACAATTCAGTTTCACCGCCTTCAAAACACTCATTCATGAACGATCACGAATTTGAATAAAGTAATTAATTTGATTGGGGTGACGAATGAATGAATTATTTTAAGGTTTGCAAGAATTAATTTTAATAATTTCACGATGAAAACTTCATTCATAAACGGTGGCACAGAATTTAAAAAAAAAACTTCGTTCGATGATAAGATAAAACAAAATGAAAGCTAACCTGAAGCACAATCTTGCGATTAATGTTGAATTGTTTAATAATGTGACAAATAAGTAAGTGACCCATATATTTCATCGTCTGATCTTGTGGTGTTGCTGATAAACATGGCCATCCTAAGAGCATAAGAATTCGCAAACGATTACCCTGTTTCCTGCAAACATCAAACAGTTGCAGTGTAATAAAATCATTTTGATTGGTAATGTTAAAAACACTTACTTCTGTGTGAAGTCGTGGATATGTGTTGGACAGTTGCTAACAAATAAGCATCCTAAATGGAATAATTGAATGAGCATTGCATCACTCATTTGAAATTTTGTGCGATCTAATACTTTCTGACAAACCAACGAAATTAAATTATTATCATCAACAACGTCCGGATTCGCTGGAGTGCCAACAACCTTAACTCAATCAATCAATCATACAATGATAAATAATTTCCAGAAAAAAAGCAAGTTTAAATAACTGCACTGTAGGCATTTCAGCATAGAAGCAATTATAATAACATTATTGTTGGTTTATTACTAATAATAATATTACTTTTGTGAAGTTCGTTCGCTTTATAATCGAAATCGCAACACCAAAAGTCAATGATAAAACAGAGAATAAGAGTTCAAGAAGAAAATTTTGAAAATTAAAAGCAATACATAATTATTTCATTAACTAAACAAAATAATTTCCAGTGTTCCTTAAATCTGATTTTTCTTCAAGCAGAATGATTCTGCAGTTCTGAAAGCAAAATAAAAATTAAGAGCAACTCCATATGACAATGCACTAACCACATCAACATTGTATCGTTGAAAGGCGAAATGCAACGATGGTATAACGATATATTGTAACATCTTAACAACGTTATCATTATGCGATGTCGACGGATCATCTTCAAACATCTTCACAACGCGTTTCAATGCATTTTGACGCCATTCAATTGGATATTTCTATAACTTATAAAATATTCAATATTCTAAATCGCTAATGAGTGATCGAATGAAGAGAGTTCACTATCATTTGCAGTTTTGCTGAATCGACAAATAATTGTATTACCTCCAAAACAAACGAATAATGAAGTGTTCATATGAAATCAACCACTTACCGGTATCACTTCGTCGTCGATGAACGTACGCAAAAATGTGAAATCACCAATGAAATTATTCGTGAAAACGTGACACAAATCAAATAAAATATCAATCTCATCGATATTCTCTCTAAAACATTTATATCTGGTAGTGTGTATGACATAAGAAATTCAATCGAGAACCAATCTCAACGTTGATATCGCAGTACAGCATAAGAGCTGATTTTGTGATTTTTTGAGTGATACATTAAGCACACTAACGAAACATTTACCGAACTGGCTATTGCTAAGCGATAAACTAAATTCTAATCGCCTGATTTTTTGAATTTACAAACATTTTTTGTTAACAGCAACATGCATCGAATTCAAATAAATTTCCTTACTTGAAATAGCGAAGCATTATTAATGCGGCTAATTTCGGCACTTCATATCTCGGCTCTTCCATATAATCCTTGAAATATGACCATCTTTATGCACAGATGAAAAACAAAGAAACTATTTTTTGACTGTGCATCAATATTGAAATAAGACTGCTCGATTGTGATCAGATTGCAACAAAAGAAATAATCCAAAAGTGTGCATTTAAATAACACGAACGGAAACAAAAAATTGTTTAGCAAAGAGATCGAAACACATGTATTTACATATGCTATAGCATTTGCGACAGATTAATTTTTCATAATAACCACAATTCGAATGCAAAAAAAACATTCGATACTCGCTCACTACACCCTTCGAAAGAACAGATGAAATCCACCGCTGAAGGAATCTGTGCTTGTCCATAATATTTTTGCGTTCCATAATAAGATAAAGGATAAAAACGCTCCCACAAATATCATCTTTAAAAAGAAGAGAATCAATCACCTTGCAAGTGTACCGTAATCGAAAATCTTTATCATTCCATAACGACTGCACAACGCGTACAATATTAACCGACTGTTTCGACGCCCAATTAGGATGTCTTTTACCAATGTTAGTGATTAATTTCAATGCCAGCATCTCCATATCACATATATTCATTGAGCATTTTGTCCATACATCATCAACAGTCTTAATGGAACGAAATCATTGGTCAACATCATTACTATGAAGCGTTTTATGATAATTATCTATTCATGTGATAAAATTATAAATTGAACTGAATACAGTTTAGTGATGAGGTTTACTAGCTTTGGATAATGCAAAAGACTTTGTATAATGAAACAAAAGAAGTCTACCCTCGCTTCACCACGTAGAATGTGAAGGAAATAAGTTGAATCATTCATCATCACTTCATGCAAACAATTCGCTTCTTCGTGTTTCATTGAATACTGAAACAACATTATATATTCAACTCGTTAACAAGAAACGATTGTTAATGAACTCACTTTGAATAGCGTTCGAACACCTTCGTTTGTGATACTGTCGTTGAGAACGAAAAAACGAATCGTCTCTCGAGGGAATTTGAGCAGGAATTTCAATAGAGGATAGCGCCAATTAATATCATCCTGAAAATAGCATGTTCCTCATTATTTCTTTAAGTTGCCGTTACTTGTTCAGGACACGAGGCATTCTACTACTTGTCTTTTGACTTGAAGTATTAACAGCGCAAACGGTTCAAACTCCAAACGACAATAATGATTTTATAATAAACGACGAACATCAACAACAAAAGACGTTTCCCATCTGGCCACCAGCGGTATAACGACGTCAATAAAACGAGCATCGGCAGTTGGCAATTCGCAAACAATTTCCAGTACCAGCTCACCAGTACGCATCTCATCTGTGGATGAGTTCGCATGCGTTGCATCTGGCCATTTCGTTAAATGCATCTGCAACAACTTATTAATGCTAGCTACCGTTAAAACAACTTCAAACAAAAACCAAAAACGAACGAGGAGTTGATCGGCGAATTTAGTGTTGAAGGCATTCGGTGATAAACGAATCAAATAAAGTAATCTTGCAACGATGTTCTTGTTCAGTGCTCGTTGAGAGTATTCATGTAAAGTGATTAACATCGGTCTCATTTCTGATTGCAACAGTCGCACGTTAACCGGTACTCGTGATATCGACTGCAATTATAATGACTGTTACATGCAAATAAAATAGAAAAGTTGCAATTGAAATAAGGAAACAAAAACAAAACAGATATGATATAGTCAAACAGGCAGCAGCAATAACAATATATTAATAATAATAATTTAGTAACAATGATAAGAGAACCGATACAAATTGGATACTGAAGAAGAAAAAAACCTCTTTAAGAGCCATAAAAGCAGTATGTTGAAGTTTTTGATTGCCATTACTTGTGAGACATTTCAATGCAGTGACAAAGAGTCGATCGTATTCCACTGTAGAACGACTGTCCACGAGAGTTGAGGATGCATTATCGACTCCTGCCTCGACTGCTTCAGAAGGAGCTGCTGCTGTTGCTGCTGCTGCTGATTGAACTGCTGACGACGCGGTGGGCAACGAACGATCACTTGATGGATCATCGGTGGTTGGTGCTGAGGCCGGATCACCTTCGCCACTGCACTTATCAGCAGTGGACTCGTCCGATGCAGCTATATAACAAGCAACAATCGCTTCTGAAAACGACTCATTCGTACTTACATCATATCAAATCAAGACAGATCAAACAACTCACTGATCACTGCCTGTCGTAAGGTGAGTAAACGAGCTTGATTCTGAGCATTCAGAACGACCGCAGCTGCACGTGACGACTGATAGTTCGGTCGACTTATCAAACACATGTCATCAGTACCACATATAGTTATCAATTCATTTGCAAATTCATTTTCATGTGCCACGCTCAGTGAAAATGTAAACAGTAACGGCTTCTGAGTATAAATATAAGTAAATGCTTCCTAAAAATGATTACAGTTATCAACGACACTATTAGCAACAGCAGTAATAATAATTTGATAGTAATAACAAAATAAGAGCAAAAATAAATAAGAATAACATAAACTAGTAATAACTTGCCATAAAAGCAATTTGATTTGAAAGTGACATTTGCTTGAATTCAATCATTCCGTTTCGAAGCATCGATTCCAAATTTTCGGCTTGCAAACTCAACAAAGCATTTACCGATTTCGATGTTAACTCGGCAATATTCGCAATCAAACGGCGACACTGAACAGAATATTTGAATGATAAACATCAATACCGATTATTTTAACATTAATCATTACTATCAGCAAGCAGAAACTAAAGTGGTACGTTCATCCAAGTGGAATGAAATGAACCTGATCTCTTAAAATCGACGATGATGTAGCCAAGTGATTAACAGCATATTCCATGAAAACTGACAACAAATCCGGTTCATGTTGCTCGCTACCACCAAAACACACCTATCAACAAATTAGCATCATTAAGAAGAGAGAAGTAATTTGAGAACATATAGTGAAACAACTCACGATGAGCAGCTTATCGATTGCTTCGATCGACATATCAATCGCTGAACTTGAAACTTCATCGCTCAAACCGATGATTACCTTAACAAATATATCCTCATTACACACATACGGGTTCATTTGGGTTTAATCATCAATCTCTAGTCATAAAAGCACAACGTTGTGAGATGAATTTTTGTATAATTGCCTTTATTCACTATTTCATTTCATTATGAACATTTTCTAACAAATATGCACATGAGAACGACGTTAATATTAGAATATTGAGAAGAGATGAAATACCTCAAAAAGAGCCGCAATAATAACACGAATATGAGCGACAATCAACCAACGAGGATAATCTTCCATAATGAATTTAAGAGCCGTACAACCACCGAGACGTGCATACCATGCTTGACGATAGCACAGTGTTGAGACGCGTTTTAATACATAGCCAAATAAAGGTGCTTTAGCTGCCTGAAATTGGTACACAATAAAAGCTAGCAATCATAGCAAAATTACTAGCAATAACAGTCGTTCATGATCGCCATATGATGATATTAATGGTGATAAAATATGGGAGAGTAATAGTGATCTTTTTATGGATTCCCTGCAATGATACCGTTATGTGTGTGGAAAAGAAATTGAATGTAATAACAATAACAGATGACAGTGACAATAACAATAACAGAAATCTACCGTTTCAATATCACCGTATAACGCAATCGAAGTGTCTTTCATATAAGTGAGTGCGACAATAGCCGCGTGGCAAATATCTTTACATGGATCAGCGAATGCATTCAAAATGGCATCAACGAGAATCGCTCCATCCATACACTCATACGACCCATCAATGACTGCATTACGACCTTCTGAACATAAAATCAATCGCTAGATGAAGGTACTGCCAAATGGCATCACTCGTTTACACAAAAAAAGGGTAAAATTGAAATGCACATTACTCGTCGCATATTGATGAATTGAAACTGTAAAAGCAGCGATTCCCAACCTTTTTTTCTCGCCTAAATCTCCTTAAAAAAATTTAAGACGTTCTCGTCCCCCTCTCTCCTACAATGATAACTAAAATGCCCTCGCACCCTCACAACATCCACACCCTGTCTCTAATTAAGTGCCTATAGTCTAGATAAGTGTAAACCATTAGAGCACGTTCCAGTCTTTTCAAAACTACATACGTTCAAATCCATCTTCATAATTGTGAATTATCATTATACAAATAAACCCGCTCTTGCCTACTTTAATGTATAAAAAATGAAATGTCATCTCATACCCACAGAATACTACCTCGCATCTCTGGTTGAGAAACCTTGCTATGAAGCGTGCAAACTGATCAAAAAAAGTGCACAGAAACCAACTTCCACACTGCTCGAATATCGACTGTATTGTCAATTGGCGTACGATTGCATTAAAGAAACTCAACACTTCGTTTCGCTGATCTCTTGCTACCACCGCAACTTTAAATGGCAAACGATTCAGAAGAAGAATTTACTGCATATCAATTAATTGTTCGATCATGATTTTGCAACTCATTTTACTGAATCCTTGGTTTAAACCTAATGGAAGGAAGGGTCAAACGAACTCGTTTCAAAAAGGAGGAACAATCAGATCTTTTCGATTCTGACAAATATGAGTCAAACACACTAACTTTCCATAAACGCTCAACTTGAATAAAATCAAGCACATAACGCCAGTCAACTCATACTTTGCGTATGCAATTAGTCAAATTTCAAATGAAATCAAAAAAGAACAACTCACAAAAAAGTGCCGTCAAAGCATCAACAAAGAGCGCACGACTTGTTTCGTCTTTGCAATGGAATATTTGCTGATGATATTCATTTTGGTCAGCTTTAACTGCCTAAAACAACGATCAATCAGTCAGTTCAAATGACACTAGTAAAATGAGCACTAAAAAAAAGAACCCTCACCTCAAGTTGAGCGACGAGATGCTGTTTGAGCGAGTGATTCTTGAAAATGGTGGGTCGATAAGGAATCAATGCACTCAAAAGGAAGCATTTGATGAGAATGAATGAATGCCGTCGAATATACAGTGGTGACGGTTGAGGTGAACATGGCAAAGAGGATGATGAAGTGATCGACAGGAACGTTGAGTCGATTTGAAATGGCGATCGCAGATGTTCTAGTGCTGCACGCACTGCTTCACTTATACTTAGTTCGCAGCTCAGTGGCGTTCCACCCTCATCCTATATCATTTATTATTATTATTCTTTATAAACAAAAAATGACAAACTCACCATGAAATGCGCTTCATCAGGACCGTAAGCTGTTGGTAGACTGCGTTGGAACACGAGTTTTAACGATGGATATTCAGCACAAGGAGTTGCGTTGAATGTCAGCGTTTGAGGATCGGATAACATTTTACGGTTGGAACCACCAAATTTGCCAAGAATTCTGAGAAATGGACAAATAAACGTACATCAAATTTTGTGAAAACACCCATGATAAATGAATAGTGATAAACGGTTCAAAAAAGTACTACGAAAAAACAACAAAATAAAAAAAAATCGGCAGATGTACCTAAACGCAATAAGAGGCGCAGTTTTGTCTGGATTCGAGACCGACTTCCACAATCCATGCATCAGTTGCGCCCTGACTGGCGCCATGTGCTCGTACAGATACTCTGGTTGAAGGTTATCAACGCATAACTCCAATGTTCTCAGACCCTTCAAACAAACCAGTTCATAATTTGATTCTATGCATGAAAAGTACGCATATGAATGGTTAAGCAATACTCAAATATAATTCTAACTATTATGAAACAAGCTAAGATTCTGAAAAAAAAAATGAAGCGTCATTCAACAGCAATTGTTGATTATTCATTTATCTAATCGTAAGTTTATGATAGAATAATTCCATTTCGTATCCTTAACTTTTGAAAAAGCAAACATTTAAAGGAGTTTGAAATTCGTTCATTAATCGAAGACGGTTAACGAAATGAACAACAAAATTTAAAATTACAACACTATGAACCTGATGAACAAGGGTTGGACTACCATTCAGTGCACATACTAGTGGATCCATAAGCAGCGGTAAGTACGGTAGCAGCGATGATAATCTAGAAACAGAAAAACATCAACTTTAAAAACTTCCTCGAGAAAACTGCTCACAATCATTTCAAACACGGCTTTTTTTTCTAAAGATTCAATAGGACATTGAGCATTTTAATAAGATCGAAACGAAATGTTGATACAACTTTCGGAATTTAGCAGAGCATTTCGACTGTTGCATTCTTAGAATAATAGTGTTGATTCGTGATGAACAACTCAGTGAATAAAATGAGTGCAATTTTAATTGTTAAATGCAATGATCACCTCACAGGTACGGTCAGACATAATTCAACAAATAATTCTCGCATCTGTGTACGATGTGCACCACTTTGTAGACGATTCAGTTGCTGTAGAAGTGTTGGTAATAATGGCAAAAAAGTTTGATAGAGCAGATCATAACTACCACCACCAATCGATCTGAACATGCAATACAACATTTAATATGGATCAGTTTTGGATTAGGTTGATGCATTGCAAAACTGATAACGTTATTATCAAAGCTTACAGCAACGAAACATTTGATGATTACCGCAGAGTGAGTGTTTGTTTGATATTTGAATGAAGCAACTCATTCAAATTTTGCATTGTTCAAGTCATGACGGCGGATTGAGAACACAGATTTGAATGAAAAATCATGATAACTTATCGAGAGAAGCGCACAAATGACAGATAACATAAACTACCTGAAAAGTGCTCTCAACAAGAGGAAATAATTGATCGGCTCACGTCCTCGTAATGCCAATTCCATTGATTGATGTACCATATCGTGAAGATACGGCTGAAATGAACTTCTTACAACTAAATTCTCATTTATGGGATGCCATGAAAACGCATTTATGACTGACTGAATCGTTTGTACATATCAACACTTCTTAAACTATGATTTACGAGAATTAAATTGCAATTCAACTGGACGAAATAACTGATATTTCAAAAACAGCTCAACTATTATAACATATTCATAAAAGAAAAAGTATTTGTCAATATTCATTTGAAAGAGAGCAGTTACGGAAAGAAGAAGCAATTTCATTTTATCACTAAACAAAAAAACTCATCATTGTGCACGTTTAATTTTGTAAATCAACAAATAACAACTGAACGATGCTCTCTGATGATTGCTCAAGTCGAGATACAACAAAAACTGAAGCATAAAATAACAAATACTTACCCTTAGCATACGTTCATTTTCAATACAACCAGTTGATTGGGAACACGAAACCGATGTGAAAACAAGTTTGAATAATTTCAAATATAATGCCGCACGTTCCGTATTCGCTTAAAGCAATTAAACGAATTGAGATAGCTTCGATTCGTTATTGTTTTGCAGTGAATTATCGATGAGAAATTACTCAAATTAAACACCAATCAAATGAGCGACCAAAGACAAAACTGAACAGAAACCTACCAGCCATATCGGGCAATTTATTCATCAGATAACGAACGAGTATGTTGCCAAATTTTGCAGATGTTGATGGATGTACCAAAAACGCATTACAAATCACTTGAAGTGCATAATTCTGTGCTATACGCTCGATAAAAAACTGAAAACAAAGAAGCAACTTTCAAAAAATGTTTAAAATATATTTAATGCAAGAGAATAAAATAATCAAGTGAATAAAAAACATCGATATATAAATTAATAATAATAATAATAATAATAATAATGCAACGCAGTGACATACAAATATGAAATTCTTAAGAACTTACATCAATATACTTTGAGAAAATTTCTTTGAAAACTGAAGGATTTAAGAGTGTATAAATAGAAGCGAACAAATCTAGTGAATCTTTTTCATCTTTCGACCGTACACCATTTGTTCTGAAATTCGTTGCATTCAACAAGAAAACACTTCATAACTAAACACAACGAACCATCTATCGAAACTAAAAACGAAAACAGCTTAATGCCAAAAGCAAACTATACACTGAACTCAGACTAAAATCTAATTCAAATCTCTACTTTACGAATCCTAACGTCAATCAGAAGTATCCACCGAACAATACGAATTTTCTTGTAGGAAAAAAGGCTGTGATAGATTGGCAAGTGATCATGCTTGATTACTCGATAATATCAAGATGTTGAAGACTTGATAAGTTTTTTCTAAAACTGTTACATAGTGAATGCAGAATGATTTGTTCAACAAAACTAAAATAATAACCGTTGCATTGCGGGTGATATTTGACTGGGTGGTAATGGAGCGATCATGAAGACATCCAAACAGCGAAGTCCATAACGCAACAAACGTTCCATTATTTCAACTTCACGTGTTGGTGACATACTCACTGCAGTTCAATCAGTTCATTATCAAATATTCTACAGCGCCAATACACACCATAATAAGCTACCGTTTTAAACGTCCAAAAAAAACACTCACGATTTGTAAGATGTGTATCTTTGAGACCGTGCACGATATGTTTACATGCTTGTACAAGAACACGAACAATACTTTTTGCGTCCGCTACAGACATTGGCGGTGCCGTCTGTACCCAGTAATATGATAAAATTTCATTTGGCGTTTCAAACTGGAAATTTAGTATTTCAAATTTATCATTGAAAAGTTCGCGTGAATCGAACGAAACTCAAATCATCAAATAAAATTTACAGGCCGACCGCCACAAATAACGAATGCATTATTTCTGAAACATTAGTAGACCAAAAACGAAGCAAAACTTGACAATTATTCAGAAATATTACGGATTTATCACATTGAATCACAGGCGCTTCAAACGATTCAAATGCTCAAGTTATTGTGAATGAATATTCACTTACTTTACCATCTCTAGTTGGCTGAGGCAATGGTGGATATGCACTGCCAGATGGAGCGGACGATGCCACTTTCTTAGCAGCTTCTTCAGAGGACTTAGCAACATCGGCATCCTGTGATAACGATAATGCAACATTCACATTCGTATGCGNGCGCATCTTCAGCATTCTGCAATTACAGTTACAACTGAAGAAATATAATGGTCATTGCTGCACAATACCAACATCCATGCATTTTCATTCTTCGACAGAAAACGTTCAACGATCATCCGTTTTTTGCAGCAGCAGTAATGCTTATTCATATCGTTTATTGCGCACAAGCGATTTTACAAAAACTGATTTATAGCTATTGAAATACAGATTAACACGAACCTTCAATGGTGCAACAAGTTTCTTTTCAACGGTGCTGCTTCGGAACGTCGATCGATCACTGCAAAACAGAAATGAATCAGAAGCAGTCTCGCAATACTCTAGTCATCATCATCTTTGAAAGTACCCGATTTAATCAATCGTCAAAGAGCAACTAACGTTTTATCGTCATTTCTTAATCGACCACCAATTACACTACCAGCATTTCGTTCGAATAAAAGTGGAACGTGATACTGAGCAATCACTTTGAATTTACGCACATAGTTTTCCATCGTCCAAAACAGCATATCACGACACTGAATAGATCAGAAATTCAAATGAGTTACATTTCTTGTTGAATCACATAATTCGTCAGCGTTTATGAATGAATAAATATAAACAATCCTACTAACCGGTTGATCAGAATGACTTTTTTCAGCAGCAATAAACGAATCAATAAGATTCATGATTAATTTACAACACATCGCTTGAACGTATGGAGGTAGTGATTGATCGTGAACACTTTTTGAAAATGTATACACCGAACTAAATTCATAATTATACTCTTTCACAGCACTTCATCATTACGCAAGGATTCAATGAACAACAATTCACTTATCATGCGAACAAATACAGAGGTTTAGTAGCATATTTATATGCACCGATAAGACTTGATGTTCAAATTTAACGCGAAATCATACCAACAAAGGAGATTGTACGATAGATGAACACGTAAATGATGAACTAAATCTGCCAACATACTGTACACTATCTGTCTGAAATTTGATCGTAAGTTAAGAATTTAAAAAATTCATGACAAATTCACCATCGAGTCGCTAAATATAAATCACGTCTTCAGAATCAGCGGAGTGCTACTCAAGATAAGTTATGATAATGATCATATATAACGCTGAGCTTTGTTTGATAAGATTATAAGCGTAACGCAAAAATGATTATGTATGGATTAATATTTTGGAGGACAAACCTCATATGATCGTTAACTGTGAATCCAGTACCCATCAGAAGTGTTTCATTGAAGAGCCTCGGTAGAATTGGAATAAATTTTGTGCGCATTTCACATTGAAAAAAACTTTTTGTAGTACCAATGAGTTCACGTCGCATTGGAAGAACATCATGCGGACAACGTTCCATAAGTTGTACAATACCTTGCACTAGTGATGCCGAATGACTGTTCATCACATCAGCCATATTGAACTGCAAAATGAACAGTCAATGATTCCACTTCTACATCAAACAAATGTTTTAGCAAAAATTGACATCAATTGATTCTGCATGATTATTTACACATCTGAACGACAGGAATGTGTCAAATCGAAAAAAAAAATTTGAAGAGAAAAAACATCAAAGTTTGCATTCGCTCTGAAAATGAACGCGAAAACAGAAATTCGATTGAGCGACTAAACAAAGGAGTAACTAACAATTGGATTACGTGCGATATACCCAAGAAATGTTAACGCACGAATCTGAGAGTTATAGAATTCATCAGCAAGAGCAGTATTGAATATCTGACTCGTGCGCTGTTCGTTCGGTATTGAAAGATTGACGTATTGCACAATCAGCGGTATGAAGTCCATCATCTGACAATACAAACTGATAATACGAGTTCGAAGAATCAAACGAATTTCTATCATGACCACACTTAGTACTATTGCCCCGTTGAAATAAGTTTGCATACGGAATCATTAGAAGATGAGAAAAAATTAAATGAGAATCAGGAATAGATAGGAAATAAACTGATCTTGTGCAGAGTAAAGTAGGGCATAATTGCTGTTCGATAATTACACAGTTTAAATTATATTCCGTGATTAAGTTGGCAAGCTCAAGTACAGAATTATCCAACAAAATTCAGAATTCGAGAATTTCGTATTGAAATCACAAAAATTTGACTTCATCCACTATCAGATCGAAATATTGAGCAATGAATTCAATGGACAACAATTATTCATCAAACGCACATAGATAATTACCCCTCACCCAAATATCGTTGATCCTGATCAACGCGTCTATGATCGCCCACTGGACTAACAACCCAAACCGAACATTTCTATATGATTTACCTCGTTGTGAAGATGATGACGGTGTATTTGAAAGAGAACAACGATGAACATCGGCACTTCGGATAAGACTTTAACACTCTGTGAGCCTCGAGGTATCAACGAATAACCCGTATTGCGTTGTGATGAACCATCACTCACACTGTCCGGTAGAAAAACCAACGTTGGTGTGTAGCAAAATTGTAATGACTGCAATTTGCATTCGTGACCGTCAACCAACAAATAATAGGTGCTTGTTGCTTGACGGTGGGTTTATTTCTGATTGAACTGAATCGAATCATACAACAGTCGATAGATGAAAATATTCCTTATTCCAATCCCGCCATTTAGAGACTCCTCATTCGAAATATTCGCACTTATATTACACTTAGTTTAAAGTGAAATGAGGCTCAACCAAGTTTCAGTTCCGTCAGAATTCCAAGAGACTCATTTCAAAGATTCCAAAACGCGATTTTCTGAACAAAATTGAAATGGCTTCGATTGAAATCCGACTGGAGTTAGTTCGAAAACTTTGAATTTCGGTGATGTCTGAGAGTCCAAAAAAATACCCGAATCAAAACTTCGATAGAAATCTAATAGGCATTCATTCGGTGACCGTTATTGTTGTACGGGGAAAAAAATCCTTGCGAATTGCACTCGACAGGAATTCATTAGTTCATATAGAACGTTCCTTTGAGGAGTCAAGAAAGCAATAGAACATCATGAGACCACCCAAGTAGGCTCAAAGAATGATAAATCGAGGGTTACGGAGACCTCAGCCGTGCCAAATGGAAAGATTTTAGGTTTGGGCATACACCTAGATTACAAGCTTTTGATCGTAACATACGTCTGCATTTGCGCTCATACCACAGATGATGGGCACGAAACTATCGCATTCACCTCGCTCAACATTTATCACAACCCTTTCCTGATTCTGCTGTAACACAGAGAGAAGTGTTAAACTCACCGATTCAATAACACTATCTTCCATTGGATTCACTGAACCACAATGACGAATTTGGTCGCGTTGTTCAAACATTCGTCCATTTGTTATGTGCTGAGGCATTTCACGATAGATCGATTTGAAATGATTGATTATTGTTGTTATCTGAAAATGTCCGAATTTCACTTTTCAGTTACATGTACAAATGATGGTAACAATGAATAGGAACAATGGTGCTCTCTAAATAGATTAGCATAACATTCAATAAATTCATCAACGATGTGCAAATACATGAGAGCTGACAATATATTAACAAAGAACAACGATAACAAACCTCAGATGAGAACGGCAAACGAAATCCACGTTGATGCTCAGCCATGATTTTGATAGCGATCAACGCGTTCTCTTCATTTTCGGATTGAATTATTTTCGTGAGTTGTGCTTGGATTGCCTTCGCGAATTGTTTAACAATATCATTACATGACATTCGCAATATCATCTCCAACATCAATTTACGAAGTTGCTGAAAATATCTACGATGCTAATGCTCCATCCATGTGATCTGTCCCATAACAATTGAATCATTTTTCTTGTTTGTAATCTAAAGACGGAAACCAACAAAAATTCTGACAGATTTTTCCACCTGGAATTCCGACCTGCACACATCAAAACTTTGAAATCTTCTTAAACGAATTATGAAGCACAAGCTGTCAAGAGAAAAAAAATTAATCAAAATTATCTCTGAGCTAGGAATGACTTAAACGAAAACTAAATAAAACAAACCTGTGTATTGTTTTCGCCTATAAACTGTGGTACAGTATCTTGGAATAACTTCAAGAACGAACGAAGAAGATTTTCAAGTAGTGGCTGATAGGCCGGTGTATTAGACAGCTCTTCAAAGCTGTTACTGATTTCCTGTAAACGATTGTATTTTTGACGTTCAAATTCTAGATGCAAAACTTTAAACATGAGCATAGTAATGGTTCAGTAAAGGAATATAACCTGTAAAGCCTTAAGTTTGAGGTCATCTCTTTGCGCAACATCAGCTAATGTTTTGATAAGACCATCCAAATGTGTCAAGATCGGTAAAGACTGCTGGCATTGCTGCGTGGTTTGTGCAACACCACGCGCCAACGCATGCTGTTGCTGAATGGTATACAGTGAACCAATTCCTGGGTTCGAACTTGACGGGATCATTAATTGATTGGTACCACTCTCTTCTTCTCTCTCCTGAAATTGATCTTGTTATTTGTGTGCTCGCAACATATCATCTGCAACGTTTTTCGAAACTACTAATGACAACGACTTGTTCAATCGCACTTCAACATCACGAAAGCATTTCTAGCATTCATTTTTTTTCTTTTTTCCCCACAAGTTTTGTGAAAATTCTCGAACGCCTTATCGTTCTTTGCATTGCAGTTTCTCACTCAGTGATGTACCTCAACATCTGAACTATCGCAAATAATTTTTCCAAGGATGAATATGTGACTGAATTCGTTTAAAATTTGAATGTTCGCGGCAATACTTCACTACACAAACACTGAAAACGAAGCGCGAAAATAAGTTCAAGTAAAATGAGCGTAATGTGATTAACTAGTGAACTACAAATTATTTTGAATCCATTAACTGAAAACACCCTCACAAAATCCATGACCATCACGGTGGTTAAACTCCTCGACGGAGATGATCAACGACCTCACACATTATTCCTGAGCAATACTTCTTCGGTGGCAGAAAGGGCATATGAGCGAATCGCCAAATGTGTGGCCAGTTCCCAGCGAAACACAAGCTCCATAAGTGCAAGAAGGGTTCCATTCAAACCTCATCACTACAACAACGGAGGGCGGTGGCTCACGATTACTTGTGTTGTTTTCTGAGACGTCGAGTCGAACAAAACAACTAACGGAAAAGAGCGTGAAAAAATGCACTCAAGTCATGTTTCCTACCGAACTCATTCTCTTAAAACGATGTTGCCTGACCAAAAACTTTTCTTGCTTTCGGTATGGGTGGTGATTAAATCAGGTGCACGGCACATTAGAATCTTAGGCATGCAACCAACGAATAATCACAAAGAACTTTACAGCGGTTGCCCGTAACACGTTTGCACCACGCCCTAAGCATCAGTGTCAGTCTCAGCGTCATCAAGATGCAACCCCCAGATGAGTCGCAAGCCTATTGTGATTTTACTCTTAAAACACGCAGTGCTGAAACTAACTGGGCCAACAAGCATCGTCGAATCATCATTGTGTCCAAACACAATCATAGCCCACTTAACTACTTACCTACCGAGTGTGCAAGCAGATACGTCGGCAACTGAACTACGGTGCTGACCGGCTGATATACTGTACACCGTACCTATCTCGACTTGGCAATATATCGAGCACTGTGTACTTTTGCTGTATATTATTACAGTATTTCACTGTAATTGTACTCACCGCAAATTTTCATCTTTCTGATAACAACGCGAAAGTAAATGACGAGTAGATAGGCGGTTTGATTCGCAAGCAAATCAGCGGTGATAAAGGAGCATTTTGATGAAATCCTCTGATCTTCCAGATCAAAGCAATCAAGTAAACAATCACACATGATCTATTCATTTATTTATTTATTTATCATAACGATAATCAATCAATAAACATTCAAAGTTCAAATCAAAAACTCATTGATTGATTAAATTAATATCATCAAATTGTACATGCAATAAAAAGACTTCAGTTATCAAAGAAAGTGAATATGATAAGTGAAAAACTAAACGAAACGAATGATGAAAATTCAGTATGAAAGAAGGCGTTTGAAATTACAAAATGCAATAATATAATTTACAGATTTAAAGTTGAATAAATACCCATTCATTTACAAATGCGTATCATCGAAACCAGTATAAAATGATTGTATTGTTATAAAGGTGACAGTAATTCAGCTTAAGTACTATCACCATTATAAGGAAGAATAGCAGTAATGTAACGATCACATAACAATCATTTCATCATTAAATGCTCACTTGATAAGTACAGAAAGGCAATAACGTAACAATATCTATGAAACAGTCCTGCTGATCGAATTGAACTGAACTGAAACAGTCGATTCAAGTCTGTATTCACGGAATATTTGCTATTCTTGGATAAAGCTTATTAACGTACATTTGTGGGATTCAATAAAACAAACACAGTCGAATAAACGTTTCGGTCTAAAGACGAAAGAAAATAATCGGCATTGTCTATATGGATAACTTCAAATGGTGCTATAAAACAAAATTTTTATGAGAGGCGATCATATGAACTCGTAGTGAATATTACGATATATGTATAGCCGAGAATCTGAACTTATTGCAGTTTAAAAATATGAACGGAAAGAATAGAACCGTTCATTTAAAGAAATAATGAGAATGCAATGAAGACTTTCACAGATCAAAAGAAAGGGGAACAAACGTTAGCCGTTGGTTCAATCTTTACGAGGAATGCAAGGGTTTGATTAAAAGAGGCACAAATTAATCAGAGACTTCAATAAGATTGAAGGCGTTCAGTGAAATCAAACAACAGAACGACTGAATCCAATTTGTTGAAATAGAACAATAGAAAGTGTCATCAACCGCTATTATTCTAACGCAACGACGCTCATGGGAAAGATAACGAAACGACGAACATCGATGAATTTCGTTCGTCAATACTACAAACATGCACAGCAAAGAGATGAGTATTCAAAAAGAGAAAACATAAATACAAATGTGGAATGGAACAGATATGCAAATACAATTTATGCCATTTTGGGATATGTATCAAAGAAAGCGTCTCTATTATTACTGAAATGAGAATGATTTCTATATCATCTATCAGAAAAAAAAAACGTTGAAACTTTGATTTGAACATAGCGCATTCCCGTCCAATTACACATCAATGAAGATGCAATCAACTTATGCGAAATATGAATAATATCGCATCAATTTTATCGTCGAATGCATTGTTGCAAATTCTGCTAATTTGCTTGCAATCTGAATCATTTTCATGGCATAATTAATCAAAATGCTCGGCTCAAAAAATCATTCAAAATGCTAAACACCGCATACTGAAACGTTGACCGCAATGGCTACGTACTTATGAGGAATCGTTCGACTGCTCAATTTCACGCTGGGCTGACGAACACTTATACCTGGCTTTTGGTGTTTTTTCACCCAATTGTTCGGCAAACAATCGCATTTTGTCTTTAAAGCCTAGATTGGCACCATCCACCTGCAACAATAATAATGGTTCACTGACGGTTAATTGGACATATGATGAACATATTTCATTTCAGATGTACATCAAAAACGAGTCCAGCAACAAAAGATGTGACAACGCTAATGATAAAACTTTTTGATAGATTATACTTTAGACTTCACAGATGAAAAAGCGATTGCACTCGTGAAGTACATAAGATTCTTTTAACAGCTTATTCTGCCTTTGAATCACCACTTAGTTCCAAAAAACTGATCGAAATTCACAAAAGTGGAGCTTTTTGAGACAAAAAACAAAGTGAAACAATATTTAAAATTGTCAATATTTTAAAAATAAACAAAAAAAAAGAACTCTTCAAGCATGATTAACCTGCACGTTTGAAGCGTTTTGTCTGGCCTGTATTTCATTGAGTCGACGCTGTCGTGGATCACGGTATACCTCTTGAGCGCCGAGTACCTGGGATGATAATTGCAAATATTAATAGATCGCAAGCACATACGAGTTGAAAATTGATCTTTGAAATCAGTGAATTGCTTGAAAGTAATCTTTTTTGGAAACAACCTGTACTCGAGGCTCGGATGATTCGTCGTCGTTGTACAACAACTTTGTGTTACTATCGTCTTTCGCAACCGATGCTGTCGCATTGATCGAACGTTTCTCAACAGCATCATTCTTCCACTGAACACCTTTCTTTTTTGATTTTGTGCTATCTTCGTTATCAATTCTGAAAGAATTTTCCTTAGATTACACATTATCACATTACAAAAATTGTCTCTAAAAATGCACAAAAAACACGAATAAAAAAAAGCTCGAACGAATAAAAACGTTCATTCAGCTTCTTTGTTCAAGGAAGATACTGAAGAAGAAAGATTCACGAAGTTACTAAATGCCAACATTCGAAGAAGAACTTGGATGTACGTGTATAATTACACGATACTTTCACTATGAATAAAAGAATCAACAACTAAATCACTTTAAATAAACTCCGAAGTGAGCGGATTAGAATATCACTAAGTGAATTTTCATTTGCAGAAAAATCGCTTTGACAGTCGATGTGAATGAATAAATCCAAATTAATTCACAGAAAAAAAGAGTAATCCAAAGAAACAGTTCTCAATTGCCAGTAATCAATAACACTGATCTGCTTTTATCTTCCAAAAAAGAGTGAAAGAAAGCGATAAAAATGATAGCGCTCGAAAAATATCATAAAGGAATATTCACTGATGAGGCGGTGACGGTGTTGAAGTTGCGAGCGCACGAACTGAATTCGAAATCGATGCAGCATTATCACTGGTCACATCAATTTGATTCATCTGTTGTTTCACGTCTTCTAATAATTTATCCAACTGTTCATCATTTCGACTCTCTTCAACTTTATTTTCGACCGTAGTTGTCTCTTAAAAAATGAATACATCAATTTTCGACTGTCATCTCTTTCAACTTGTGTATAATCGTTTGTTATTACAAACGATTATCTCACTACCAATATGTCTCCAATAAATTTCCAGTACAGATTGGAGATGGTTCAATTTGATTTTTTAAATATTTAAGCATATATTGACGTAATTGCGAGTAAGTTAACGTAATAAAAGCTCAACACGCTAATTGATTTTTTGACCACCGAACTGGATTGGCGATATTCTGAATTCATTTGAAGGAGAACAATTATATTGCTGGGCTGATGAATTTGTGGAGAAATTACATTACAAAGCAATCAATCAATTCTAACGTGGTTGTGGTGAAGTGAACAGGTTCTGTGGACGTTTCAACGGTACCCGAGCGAGTTCGTCGACCATTGCTCTGTAGGTGCGTCGTTCATTCTCATTCATCGCCGTCCCTTTCGCCTCCAGTTTATCCAATCTTGCATTCAATTCATCACGCCTCTAAAAATAATTCATATCAACAGTAACAAATTGGTATATGTAAACGTTTCAATTCAATAACAAATGAGAAAATATGCGATGCAACTGAATATTGTGATCGCATTAAAACGGAAAGATACAAAAAAAGCATTATTAATTTGTAATTATCAATTTTCATTTCGGTTGAACTTACAGTGGTATTCAATGTGGATGAACTGATTGCATTTTGAGCATTACCATCACTGACAACACCAACTGATGAAGATTCCTGATGCTGAACCTTATTTGGTAATAAACACAAGAATCATTCATAGAAATAAGATATCATTTTCGAAATAATGAAATTCAACAATACGAATTTTAACATTAAGCACAAATGCGCATGAACTAAATGGAATGGGAATAGCTAACGTTGATGGTTGAAGCGATAGCATTGGGTGACTGCGATCGTTGCTGTGCGGAACGAGCTGGTTGAATGATGACGGGTCGTTGAGATACACGATAGTGCGGCGGTAAGGCACGATGTTTTTGGAATGGTGACTGCATCGATGACACCGTACCCATAGAATCTTGCTGAATTTTTCACATCAACATTCCAAAATGCTATCAACTCTGCAATGACTAACTGAACCTAAAAAATATGTACGTAACGAAATTTCAACCTTGGAGTGATAGAGTTCTGATGTTGAATTGCAACGAGTTGTGCGCAGATTTGAATCGGGTAATGAATACTCATTACGACGAGAATATAAATGATGCGCTGGCTCATTACGATTGTATGACATTCCAGTTGGAGTTGGGTTATAACGAGTTGAGTTATAGGCATTATTACTATTAGTAACAACCGTTGGTCGTTGATATTTATCTGAAATATTGCCATGAGATCAATGGTAATCGATATCCAATCAAATAAAACACATAAAATGTGACAGAATAATCTGATAACAAACAATTGGGTTTCGAACATAATAAAAAATACTTCAAACAGAATGATATACCGAATGATTGTTGATTTGCATAATTTTCAGATAACAATGAAGAAACACTTTCAGCGTGCCTTGGAGCTACATTATGAACTGGTTGAGTTGAGTTCAGCTGCAAATATAGATAATTATTGAAATTTTCTCAGTTTAGTGCTCAGGAGAATATCACTAGATGGAATGTATAAAGTTCAAAACAACTTTCCATTGATGGAAACAAATCAGGATCAAAATAATCGAAAGTAGTTTCCATTTAAAATTAATTAACAAAAGCTTTAGTGAAAGAATTCCTTCAGTTTCTTTGACATTTGAACTCTCGAAATATTTACCCGAAAAATTCTTTCTTCCTTTCAATGATGCAATTAATATTCATCAGAATCATAAGCTAATCAATTTTTTGGTCGAATACGCGAATTCTTTGAAGACGATAAAATATTCGGAATCAATTCAAGAGTATTATTTTGAAGTTCGGAATAACAAAAGCAATCTAGTTAATAAATAAACGGAACAATAAACAATTCATTAAAAATTTTCACATGAGCAGAAGTTGATGATTGCGATTGAGGTGGAGGATTACGCAGCCATTCTTCAAGACCATTATAGTGTGCCGCATTTTTGTTGACCTCAAATGAAACCACCGGACCGCTACGAGACATCATTTCAGCAGCTCTGAATATATTCTTTTCTATCGAATCAATATCAACAAAAATTATTGCTAGCAATAACACATATAGTCAAATACATCCCATCCCTATCCTATCAAAACGGCTGATGATTTACTTCGAGAACTCGCTGCAACGCCACACGGAAATGCTTTCTGTTCGCAATATCGAATGAGCCAATCAATAGGCCATATGAATTTATGTGGCTGCGTTTCATCTAATTGTCATTTATCCCGACTCAGAACGGAACAATTCAGAATACTAAAACATACTCGCTCTGTGTGATTCCGACAAGTGACTGACCGTTGATTGATACCAATTGATCACCGGGTTCTAATCGACCGTCCTGAATTAATTTTATTTTATTATTTACCATATGTGAGTGCATTAATGAGACTGACTAAGTACTGAATGCTCTCATATGAAGACATTCGAAAGGATGCAATAATCAAAGGAAATGATTGAAGTTACCCGATGTGCCGCACTTCCATCGACTACTTTTTTAACGTAGATACCCACTGAGCGTTCACCAATTCCCTGAACCAAGCAGAACATCATCTTTTCAAATACTACAAAATTGTGCACATATCAAACAAATATGCTTCATTTATCATTTAGCGTTATGGACAAGGCGTTTTCGGTAGAGCACTTAATCAAAGAACAACCGTTCAATAACCAATAACTTAAGTTGAAAGGAATAAAAGCGCCAGTTTTTAGAACTAAGAAAAACATCAATAGCAAATGTTGAAGAGAAAATAGATTCTAGCTTTCCACAAACGCACATTAAACAATCAAATACTCGAATAAATGAAGGTAAGCAGTAGAAGTTATTAGAGAAACAACAAACAAACAAATATACAACAGAGATTAAATATCGGAGAATGATTGCAAAAAAAAAAATAGTTGACTGATTAGTGGAAAATCACTCAAAGAAAATATTTCACTTGAATATGTCCATAGATTGCTTTCTATTATAAATATCACCAAGAATGCTCAATTCACACTGATACTCTCAGACACATTGATAAATGATTCAATAAACTGATAAACGAGTAGATATATATCAAGTAAACGTCAATATGATCGCTACTGAGTTCGTTGTTCGAAATCGTAATTATCAATACATAAAATCAAATCATTCGAAGAAATCATGTTCAGAAAGTTCGAAATATGGAACACGGATAATAGATAATGGGTAATATGCAGTCAAATTGAAATCAAGGCCATTAAATGAAAGACATTATTACGGAGGTGCGTGTTATTTGTTCGTGTGAAAGAGATGTGAAGATAAGATGAAGAGTCGAACCGTTAAGATTGTTATCGCTAATTCAACCAACCAATAACTCATGCAACTATCAAAGAACAAACCTGTGCTGCCACTATACTCAGCCCAATACCTGCATTGCCTCGTGAGAATGAAATTTGAACAATATGAGGTACATGTTCCTGAAATTGGATATAACTGATTGTATTGCAAGCGTAAGATTGATTGTATTGCAAGCGTAAAATATAACAAAAAAAAACATTTGTTTGTATGCATAAAATATGATAACAAATATAAAGTGTCTTAGTGGCGTACGATAGTGTTAGCAATACGTCGTAGTTGTGGCTTTTGACTCGCAAATTCAAATAGTTTTATTCAATAATTAAGCACAACGTAATGACTGGATTTTAAATGAAAAAGATGTGCGATTACATATTCATTAACATGTAAATGGATAAATTTCTGCAGTCACTTCTCAATAATAGTAATAATAATAATAATAATAATAATAATAACAATACCTTTTGCGGCAGAAAGTTATTGGACAATGGCTGCGCATTTGATGAGTACTGTGCGTTGTTCAGTGATTGCATTGATGCATAACCGTTATGTGGATATGATGAGTGGTTGGTTGGTAATGTGGTTTGCGACTGTGCTATTTGCGGTAATGAGGCATGCAGCTGAAATCGTATTCAATCAGCTGTTTGAGCGGAATTCATTGCACGTGAAAACATTCCTATATTCTCACTCCTTCCATCAATTATCGATCACCGATCTTTTAACATAAATACATGAATATTGATAGACAATCAAGCATTCCAACCATTACCTACATACAGATGTCAACATTTTTCTGCGATCATCAGTTGGGTGTAAAAGTGTACGTGGTTTTTCACAGTAACAAAACTGTCGACGTTTTATTACCTTAGTGAACGATTCAGTAAATTACGTCGTCTTCAGGAGGTGCATATCGCACATCATCAGAATCATTGATTTCAACTTCTCATTCGATTAAATGAACGTAAAGAATAACTACTTTTTTCTACTTTCGACTCACAAGAAACATGAGAGTGATGTGTAAATTTACTCAAACGATGTATAAATTTACTCAAAAGGTATTATTATCGATGACTGAATCCAGCATAATTTTCGTCATATAACCGAAACGTGTTCGATATGATAACGGCGACTGATGCAAAAACAAACATTTGAATGATAGCACCACTACAAACCTGCATCGACTGAAGTGGCTGGCGTTGTTGGACTGGTACTGTTGCTGGCATGTGCCGCTGTGGTGTGTTCTCGTTGAAATGCACCATCCAACTGCCAGTTGACGACCTCACTTGTGGCAATAACTCACACAATCCTATTCAATAAATCATCATCATTCATACGACATTATTGCCACTCTAAACAATTAAGCATACTCTTCATCAACGCTTTTTTGAATGTTTTAAGAAAAAAGGAATCGACATGAGAGTTAATTATGCTTTATTCGAGTATCACACTAGAACGCAAAAAATTCAAATGAAAAGAACCTTTTTGTTGAAGCGTTCCAATGAAGCTTGTTACAGATGGAGGAACCGAGTAAAGAACACCTGAATGGTTAAGATAATTAAGCAATCAAACAAAGTTAATTTCTTCAATTCATCGTAGGCACTAATTATCATAAAAACTTCCGCAAAACTACACTTTCCCGTTCTCTTCAAAGCTGGTGAATCAACTGAATCTAGCAACAATCAACACCAGTCGACTCTATACTTCTCTAACTATTAACGAATATCTGAAAGCATGATCATCTCTAACAAGTTCAAGCAAGAACAAACCCGAACAATAGCCATCCTCTGGTAATAAGAATGGTGTCTGTAAATTGGGATTCTCCTCTAGATTCACGCCAATTCCATCCTCAATCGCTATACGATCGGCTTGTGTTTCAGCCAGTTGAACCAGACTTTCAATTAAATCGTTACTAATCGCATCCTCATTAACATCCACAACTATATGCTCAAGAAGATATCGTACCTATAAAGTAATCTATTGCCAACGATTATTATTTTTATTTCATGTCAACTACGACAATAACGATGATTATCAATGAAACAATGACAATTCATACCAATACCTGAACGCTATTCAACTTATAACATGTAGCACCAAGTACACTAATTTGATTGGATGTTTTCTGCGTTACCAATAAACTGATCGCTTGCTGAATTTTATCCATGTGACAAATGGCTGGTAATTCCATTCCTTGTTGTTTCGCCCAATTATGAATGTTATTTAAACGATTCGACAACCTGTATACATTTTTTCCTTTTGAAATTCATTAATAATAACTACAAGAAAAAGATTAGTAATAACAACAATAATCAAAAATGATAGCAATAATAATAATAATAATAACAGAAATATAACAACAAACAATGACTGAAAACAATTACCTAACTCCAAATGCTGTGCTACAACAACGACTACCATTCGGTGATACAAGCCAATTGAATATTTGTGAACTGATGAAATAAAAGAGTTGAGAGAACAACTGAATTGTTAGCGCAGCATTGATGCGATGCATACGGAGCACATACACAGCATCATTGAGTGTTCTTATCGTTTCATCTGCAAATAACTCATTTAAGTATGCAACAATATTATGGTTTTACAATGACATCTGAATCAGGCCCGATTCGTCGCAATGAATCAATCCCTTCTGAAATGCACGTCATTTTTAAACAATGTGCAAATTATGAAAAAATTTCTGCAGATGCAAATGGAGTAAGGGAGGGGGGAAGTGAGTGTAATTCAAAGTAGCACAATGAAGTGACACAAGAAACGAACCGGATGACAAACGATCGTCAATACGACAATCGATAAACGAATCAATCGCTTTATTCAAATGATCTTTATACACTCCACTTAAACCATTCAATGAATATTCCACACACTCCAAAAACAACTGTTGTGTTGATGGCTCAATTATTTCTTTCAATTGCAAATCCTTCAAAGATACACAAAAAATTACCATCGTGAACAATACAATGATACTATTGATAGTATATAATTACTACGGCAGCAAAAAAGTGATAATAACGACAATAGTATTGGCAACAATAAAAATATAATTCACCTGTTTTATGAAATTCAACATTTCACTTGAATTGGCCATCCAGAACGCATACATTTCTTTCGATAGAGTTCGCTCCTTAAATCGAACAATTTATAATTTTTGACAGTTGCAACTTAGATACCGCTTAACTCATCACAACTGAGACGCACCACAAATTCTATCCACTCGGAAATCTTCGGCTAAATTCGGTGAAACTGAGTTTTCTTATTCTTGTTTTCTTCAGAACCTTACTTTATCTTTGAACCTATCATCAATATGCTCACATCTTACTGTTAGGATAAAACATAATTTCATTGAATAACAAGCAAACTCATATAAATAATCAACAAACCAATAATAAACTTCGAATTCGCTGAATCGCTTTTGCAGCAAAGAAACGAATCGAGCGCACCGAATCGGCGTTAATCGGCGATATTTTCAGAAATCGATGTCGAAGAACCATGTAGAAGATGAATGCGGGAGATAGTTTGAATTGCAGTGCTTCCGTGTATTCGCTGAATATATGCGACAAGAAAGTGTCTTCAACTGCAAACATCATCAAGCCATCATTATGTGTGTTCAACCAAACGAACATTATTCAATCGAAAACACTTTCTGCGATAAATTAATCGTATTTGCTCGATATCATTGTTGAATTAACGCAACATTTTGTATAAATGGAGATAACAGGCATCACCATTAGTAGGCACATTAATGACGGCTGGAATCTCCTCAGATGAAAACCTATTCGCGGTTTGTGCAGTTGTTCGTTGGAATGCTTCATTCAAATCAGGAGTACTGCCAAAACCAGACACACCTCTTGGTGCAGGTGATAGCCTGAAATTATCACGGATTGTTATGCTTGCTTTAGAGACTTCCTGGTGCGATTATAAAGCAATTGAGATTGCAGAGAAAAAATTAATGAAAATGAATAAATGATAAAAAATTCTTCAAAAAAGACAAACAAAAAAAACGAAGAAAATCATCTGCAGGAAATGAGGAGAAATGGAAATCTTCGGAAAATCGATGAGATATGAAACGGAACAACAAGTTATCAGAGACAGCAATTTACACCAACAAATCTATGATATTTCCAATAAACGCTCACATCTGATTAAGGAAAGAAGGCGTGATGGCCGTTCTCATAGCAGATGCATGACGCAAATCACACATTGAACCGTGACATAAACGCCGTTGATTCACACTTGACTCATCATTCAAACAACGCCTTACCGCATCTAATCGACGTAGATCTAACGATGAATGCGTTATATGTTCTAAGTTACGTGATTTATTCGCTATGTATAAGGGTGCTGAAGTGCCTTCAGGAGCTCGAATTGAACCGTCCACAGCGAATGTTGTTTCCATTTTAGTGATTAGTTATAGTGGTTGGTGTGATTAGGATAACTGAAGAAGAATTTGACAAGAGTTGATCCAAGTGTTGCACTTATTTCGATTCTCAAAATCATTTCAGTTTCAGAGCGAATACACCGTAATTATATCAGTACATTGCAACAATCACTCATGCCTAATGAATTATGGTACTCAGTTTGCTACGACGCTCTCCAATAACCGATACTTTCACACGATAACGATCAAATAGAACATCGCAAAACAACTATGACAATTACAATGCTAACAACAAATATGATTATAGCAATACTAACGATAATAAGAATAATAATGATAATATAACAGTATTAATAACAACAACAATAATAATCCAATACAATCATAAATGAATTCAAAAATTCATGAATACAAATATGGATACTGAAATTAGAGAGATCGACATGGAGGACGTGATAGAGAATGACACGTAAAGCATACAGCTATGAGAGGGACAATAAACGAGAGTATTGTAGTGTAGTGAAGGATTGAATCAACGACCAGTAATCATTATTCAATCAATTTTTGAAACGATCAAATGAAAGTGCTTGTTGAAATTCGTTATAGTTATTACAGATCTAATATATTCGCTCTTACTGACAGATAAACACTTCAATGTTAAGGATTGATTGCAAGTGCAAAACGAGACGGAAAATGGATAATGCTATCAAACTAGATTGATCAAAAGCCGAAATTGAAATGTGACTAAATCAAACAAGACAACACCACTGACAAATCTCGATCAAATCAAACGAC